GACTACCACCAGAACGGGAGGTAGATTTCTCCATTGAGATTGAGCCAGAAACAAAGCCAATATCTAAGACTCCTTATCGGATGGCTCCGACCGAGATGGAAGAACTGAAAAAGCAGCTGAACGAACTAATGGAGACAAGATTTATCCGACCGAGTGTATCACCGTGGGGAGCTCCGGTGTTATTTGTGAAGAAGAAGGATGGTAGTATGCGACTCTGCATTGACTACCGAGGACTTAATCAAGTGACCATCAAGAATCGATATCCATTGTCGAGGATTGACGAGTTGCTTGACCAGTTGCAAGGAGTGAAATGGTTTTCAAAGATCGATTTGCGCTCTGGGTATTACCAGATCCGAGTAAAGGATGGGGATATTCAAAAAACTGCCTTTCGAACGAGGTACGACCACTTTGAATTTGTGGTCATGCCATTTGGATTAACGAATGCTCCAGCGGTTTTCATGAAGCTAATGCACCGCATATTCATGGAGTACCTTGATGATTTCGTCATAATCTTTGTTGACGATCTCTTGATATATTCATCGGACCAGAAAACTCATGAAGAACACTTGCAAAAGATCTTATGGAGATTGCGGGATAATCAGTTGTACGCCAAATTCAGCAAGTGTGGTTTTTGGTTGCAAAAAATTGGATTCCTTGGTCACGTGGTTTCTGCACAAGGGATCCAGGTTGATCCGGCAAAGATCGAGGCAGTAATGGATTGGAAGACGGCCACCAATGCGACTGAAATTCGAAGTTTCTTGGGTTTAGCAGGCTACTATCGTCGTTTCGTCGAGGGATTCGCTAAACTGGCAAAGCCAATGACGAAGTTGACAGGAAAGAATATACGCTTTGAATGGATGGAGGATTGTGAGAGGAGTTTCATGGAACTCAAGAAGAGGTTGACAACTGCACCTATTTTGGTGTTACCGCGTCCAGGTATTCCGTATGACGTATATACGGATGCGTCGAGGCATGGATTGGGATGTGTGTTGATGCAAGAGGGACATGTGATAGCATATGCATCCAGACAGTTGAAAAGACACGAGGAGAACTATCCAACTCATGATCTGGAACTAGCCGCGATAATCCACGCTCTGAAAATTTGGAGATCCTATCTTTATGGTGAGAAAGTTAAACTCAGCACCGACCATAAGAGTTTAACCCATGTCATCTCGTAGAAAGATTTGAACTGATGGCCGATTATGACTTAGAAATTTCTTACCATCCGGGTAAAGCAAATGTTGTAGCCGATGCATTGAGCCGAAAGAAGATATTGTCTGCTATCAAAGTATTCTCCTCATCACAGGAGAATATAGCAGAGTTGTCGGCTATACTGGATCATTTGACGGTTGCAGAGGGTGAACAGTTCCCAGATCTGAGAACACGAGTAATTTCAGAGCAGTGCAATGACCCAAAACTCATGAAGTACATACAGGAGATTGAACAATATGGCGAGAAAGGGTATCAGTTGGATGACGCACATGCATTGAGACTGCATAACCAGCTTTGTGTACCGGATAACGATGAGTTGAGACAGAAAATCTTGCAAGAAGCTCATCAGTCCAGGTTAGCGATTCATCTAGAAGCTAGCAAGATATATCGAGGTTTGTGACAGTGGTATACTTGGCCCGACATCAAGAAAGATGTCGCAGATTTTGTTGCATGATGTCTGACGTGTCAGCAAGTGAAGGCCGAACGACAAATGCCTGGAGGAAAGTTGCAACCATTAGAAATTCCGGAGTGGAAGTGGGACTCTATAGCCATGGATTTCGTAGTTGGATTGCCAACAACTCCGACGAAGAAGAATGCAATTTGGGTGATTGTGGACCGATTAACCAAAACGACACATTTCATACCAATCCAACAAGAGTACACAGTTGAGAGATTGACACAGATCTATGTAGATGAGATCGTCCGATTACATGGAGTACCGAGTGAATTTATCTCTGACAGAGATCCTCGCTTTACTTCACGACTGTGGAATGCTATATAGGATGCGTTGGAAACGAAGCTGAAGATGAGTACTGCATGTCACCCGCAGACGGACGGACAGTCGGAACAGACTATCCAAACGCTCAAAGATATGTTGAGAGCATGTATATTGGATTGGGGAATTCCGTGGGATCGACACCTGATGTTGTGCAAATTTGCATACAACAACAGTTTTCATGCTAGCCTCGGTATGCCACCTTACTAGGCACTGTATGGGCGGCCTTATAAGACACCACTTTGTTGGACGTTAATCGGAGAACGACGGAAATTTGGTCCTGAAATTGTGGAGGAGACGACTGAGGTTATTAGAAATATCAAAGTTAACCTGAAAGTCGCTCAAGATCGTCAGAAGTCTTATGCAGATAAAAGAAGGTGGGATTTCCAACTAGAAGTGGGCGATCAAGTATTCCTTCGAGTATAGGCGATTCGAGGTCATGCAAGGTTCGGGAAAACGAGGAAGCTCAAACCTCGTTATATTAGGCCATATCCAATAATTGGAAAAGTAGGAGCAGTGGCGTACTGAGTGGAATTACCGGCAGAACTCGGCAATATACATGATGTATTCCACGTGTCCATGTTACGGAAATACGTGGCAGATTCTTCCCACGTTTTACGGCCACGGGAGATTGATGTTACCCACAACGTTCGCTTTAGAGATGAGCCGTTACAAATCGTTGACTACAAGACAAAGAAGCTGCGGAATAAGGAGATCCTTCTGGTCAAGGTTGTATGGCGAAGTCAAAGAATAGCAGATACAACGTGGAAAACAGAGAAGGAGATGCGCGAACAGTACTCTTATCTTTTCGGTAAACATTCCTACCTAAACTCAATTTAAATTCGCGGACGAATTCATTTTAAGGGGATGGATTGTAACATCCCACAAATTTAAAAAAAAATGAGAGTGGGAAACATGTCTCCATGTTTTTCTCACCCACTCCTCACTCTCTCTCTCACCCTTATCTACACGTGATTTCTTGTTACCCTTAGTCCTTTTTATTACCTTAGTCACTCACGCTTCCATCACTCTTCCCTCACTTTCAGCATAACTCTCCCTCTCTTAAACTCATCCAGCGTTAGTGGGTTGAATCTAATTCAAGGTGAGCAAACTCCTCTTGTTTTATTTTGTGTTGCTTTGTTTTCTTTTGTTTTTCTTCATGTGTAAGGTGATACTATAAATCGTTTCTCCATCCTCTAAATATTTTAGCTAAACATTTGGTTGAATTCGACGAAGAAAACATCACCTAAAATCAAACCAAGAACGTCCAAGAAGCCATAAATTCTTAGGTGATTGAATCGAGTTTAATCCGAAAATTTCATTTTCATTGCTTCCTGGTAAATTGACGTATTCTTGTTAAATTTCTACCTGATTCATGTTTTTAATTTTTTTTTATGATTTTTAGATTTTAATCTACTGATTTATTTCATATATTTTGTATATTTCATGAATCATGAAATCCGTCCTAAACCGGACCAGAATCGAATTATATTAGGAAGGATAAAAAAATAGTAATAATACCAATAATAATAGTAATAACAATTATTTTGAAATATTAATAATAATAGTGATAATAATAATAACCATAATAATATTTACTTATAATAATAATACTTAATAATAATAACAGCGAAGATGATGATAATGATAATAATGATAACAATAACAATAATAATAATAATAATAATAAAGATGATCATGATAATAATAATAAAAAAAATATAATGATAATGATAATGATAATAATAATAATAAAAATAATATCGGGGGTAGTTTGCATGACATTGACAGTATTGAAACGGGTTCGAATACTTTCTAACGTGTGATTGTATCTGGGTTACGCATGTGTGTAATATCCTGATGATTACGATGATTGCGTTCTGTCTAGACGACAATCGATCCGGGCCGAATGTCTGATAGTCGGGACATGATTGTGATTGAGTTATGATGATAATATCGAGGATTCACGTATATAGCCTACCGAGTGAATCGCTACTATTGCATGATGAGGGAATACGGTTCTTTGGTAACCACGCCAACGTTTCCGCTAGCAACGGAATGGATTCGGGGATGGAACGATTCTCCCGAGGATGAGGCATTACACATACCTGAGATTCGGATTGATTGGGGTCTCCCGAGGAGGTGGTACGGACTTACTATGCTAGGTTCGGGCACGAACCTGACCAATAATTCCGCGGCGGATGGTCGGCGAGGGGGAGTTGCAGCCACTGGCTCTCCCGTTATAGTCGATGGGGTCGGTTGGAGCTGACGTCTGGTGAACTCCGGTATTGAGTGGTGACATCAATGCCGGAGCAATGTGACACGTCTACTATCGAGAGGTGTCATCGATGCTAGGGTGAGGTGATGTGTTCGGATGGAGAAAAATAATTATGCCGGATCCAGGTGATTATGGTGTAGATGGATTTCGAGGAGAGAGGTGATTGTGCTATGCACATGGGGAGTATATTACCTACGCATGATGTGCGTAGAGATGATTTGATGGATTACGTCCTGCGACTTGTCGCACGGACTTAATTGTGATTGCGATTGATAAATCGATGTTTGCTACTTGAGATGTCCGTTGATTGATTTTATTACTGTTAAATTGGTGCGTTGAGTTACCTGCTTCAATGAAAATGGAATATCCGGATTGCACCCGATTCACTCTCTAAGCAATTAGCTTAGGACGTTGTTATGCAACGTTTCAGGTCGGGAGCAGTAGTAGTCGTGGAGCGGACACCGGAGACCTGGGCGACATGTTGACTGATCATGTATAATTATTTTCTATGGTACATTTATACTTTTGGGGAACGGTTTTGTGTGATATCGGTGGTAGACTTTCATGGTTTGCAATAATGTTATCGCTACCACCCGCGTGTTTATAATTATAACTGGAATAATATCATATATGTATGTATGAATGTTTTTCTTCCGCTAACTCTGAAAAGAAAAGTTTTAAATTCCCGCAGATTTTTGGAAATTATGTTTTTATTTTAGTCGTCCATGTGATACAACTCGTATTGCGGGATATGGGTTTCGAGTGTCATAGAATATAGATACAAATATTTAAAAAATTCTGAATATCCAACTCATAGCCCTCCCTACTTGATATACAAGTCAGTATTTTTTAATATAAATACAACCCTTTACAAAAAAGAAACGCACACGTATAAATCGATCTTTATATAAATTTGATGAAACTAAAACTATTTACGTGTAATCTTATAAAAATTACTATTCACTTAAATAATTGTGGCCTTTGACCGCAATCTTTCAAACAATCCTTCAAAGATTTATTACCGTGTCGAAAACGTCGGCAAGCACGTCACGATACCCTATAAAAGCATCTCCTTCGACGTCACAATTTTCTCTTCGAGAATTCCGTTTACCTTCTTTATATTCGCTGATTCCTTTTGTTCAATTTCCGGGGTTTTCGGTGACTTTTTTCTTTTTTGTGTTCGATTGTTGTATGAGTTGGAATCGATTGTCAGCGAGAATGGCGGATGGAATCGGTAAGAACGGCCTCGGATCTTCCACCGCCGCTGCCGCCGGAGCGACGGATTCTTCAACGGCGGCTAGATCGAGATGGAAGCTGCTGTGGCCAACTGCTCTGCGGTGGATCCCTACCTCCACCGACCATATCATCGCCGCCGAGAAGCGCCTCCTCTCCGTCATCAAGTACTCTCTCTCTCTCCCCCTTTTGATTTCAAAGATATTTGGAGAACTCTGTAATTGGAGTGAGATGCTTTATATGTGCGAGATGTCAGGAGAGACTCACTCGTGTGAGTTGTCGGAATATTGATTTCGTGGGCTGAATTTCAGCTTAAGCTGTTTGGCCTGTGCTGGGTTTGTCACAAATTTTGGGTTTGATTCCTTTCCCATGTATATAGCTCGGAGTTTATTTACTAGAATCACCAGCGTTTTTGGTGAATTGGTAGTGGTAAAAGAATGGATGTTTGGATTTGAATCTATATTTGTATAACATCAACGTAGCTTTAATCCCAAATTTATTTGGGTGGCGGTATGAATTCTTCGTTTCCATTTGTTTTGGTTTTGGGTTACCTCTTTCGGAATTTACAATAATTCCAAGTCGTTGTTAATGACACGTTACTCTAGGTTACCCTTTCTTTTTCTCTCCACCCCATTCTTATAAGTTGTACATGTGAATAGATTAGAAAATCACAGGTTTTTGCAGTTAAAAATGCCGGATGCGTCTGGAGGAGGAATGTTAACTGTAAACGAAAAAGTTCATTGCAGTGCGGTTTCAGGAATAAATGGGTTCATAGTAATAACAACTAAGTCAGCTCTTTGTTTGAACACATGATCAAAATCAGGACGTCGTATGTTCAAGAGCAAGTCAACATTGGTACAGGCCCACCTGGGTCCAAAATCAAGTGGTTTCGTTCTACGAGCAATGACCCGCGGTTCATCAACACAGTTACCTTTGATGCCAAGGAAGGTTCTCCAACACTTGTGATGGTTCATGGATATGGTGCATCTCAAGGGTTTTTCTTCCGGAATTTTGCTGCACTTGCCAGCCGTTTTAGGGTTATAGCTATCGATCAGCTTGGGTAAGTAGTTTGAAAGTCATCTCTTTATTGATTTGTGTGTTGAATTTAATTTGTAATCTTTGGCCCTGTTTTTGTTTATAAAGTGCTGCTGGATCACACTTTTCACTGTTGCCCCAAGTTATTTAATGTTGCCGTGAACCATTGAGCCAAGGATATTCTGTTGTTTCATTGCCTTTGTATACATCATCATGCATACATTGAATATTTTCGTCATTGCTGAATATCCTGATGGTTACGCGCGTTTTTTCTCCTTTTCTTTTCAGTTGGGGCGGATCAAGTAGGCCTGACTTCACATGCAAAAGCACCGAAGGTAATCATTGGTTGTATTTTTTAAGCATTGTTGCCACTTATATCGATCCATTCCTTACTCGTTTGTGTACATTGAGTTGTAGTACCAGTAGTAGTAATGTGCATACTTTTTATCTTTTTCTTGTAATGCAGAAACTGAGGCATGGTTTATTGATTCCTTTGAGGCGTGGCGTAAAGCTAAAAATCTCAGCAACTTTATACTCTTAGGACATTCTTTTGGGGGGTATGTCGCCGCCAAATATGCACTTAAGGTGTATCTTCTCTTTGTCATGATTTGACAAATAAATAGAAGGTCGTGTTGTGGGGTTGCAGTTCTAACATTTTCCTATGGCCTGTCCATTTGTTTCTGTAGCATCCTGAGCATGTTCAACACTTAATATTGGTGGGACCTGCTGGTTTTTCATCAGAATCAGATGCCTCCGAGCGGCTTACTAAATTTAGAGCATCGTGGAAGGGATCGATTCTTAACCATTTATGGGAGTCTAATTTCACTCCTCAGAAGCTGGTTAGGTACGTGCTTACCAGTTTGTTTCGTCTGCTTCCCTGCTTATTTTAAAAGTTGGTGATATAAATTTTCTCTTTCACAGATCATTGGTATAATCAATTGCAAGGTTACGTTTTTTAATGTTTCTGAATATATGTGTGATGCAGGGGATTAGGTCCTTGGGGCCCAGGTCTTGTACATCGGTATACAAGTGCAAGATTCGGTTCATATTCGGTGGGAACCATCTTGACAGATGAGGAGACCAGATTGCTAACCCGTCAGTTGAACTTTTCTTATCTTCTTCGCATGGCTGCATCTGATGTAGGGGTGATGCCGTGTAGCTAATGGGTCGTTTTACATATTGAAGATTATGTCTATCATACATTGGCTGCGAAGGCAAGCGGAGAACTGTGTTTGAAGTACATCTTCTCCTTCGGAGCATTTGCTCGGATGCCTCTTTTAAAAAGGTTAATCTCCGACATCTTATGCAAAGATAGAAGCTACATCTCGTTACTGGACAATCTTTTTTCATCGGCCTGCATATTTCTTTTGCGAAGCCTATATCAATGACCGATTTATACAGTGAGGCAATATTATGATGCTATTCTGCGTAATGGATAATTTTTAACGCTCTCCAAGTGTCGAATTCATACCTGGAAATGGCTACCTTGCGGGCTTATCGGATTTACCAAACATAACGGTATCTCTTCTCTCTATCTCTCATTCTCTTGTGCAGTGCATCTGACTGGAAAGTGCCCACAACTTTTATTTATGGATTCGAAGATTGGATGAACTATCAAGGTGCAATGGAAGCTCGGAAACACATGAAGGTCCCTTGCGAAATCATTCGAGTTCCGCAGGTCCGTTACTCAGCTCAGCCACTTTCTTTCTCTACGCCTCTTTTCACATTACATAAAAAAAACAGAATCTAAATTCGACGTTTTTTTTGAAGGGTGGTCATTTCGTGTTCATAGACAACCCCACGGGGTTCCATTCCGCTGTATTATATGCTTGTCGTAGGTCCCTATCTTCGGGCCATGACCATGAACCCATCCCTGAGGGTCTTCAATCGGTTTAGCCTCGATATGCTATATTTGTATATAAATCCATGTATCCGAAAATAAAGGAGAGGGCATCAAAACCAACATCCATTTCATCTGCTAACTTGTACTTGTCATCACTCATATGATATTTAAATACGTATGTAGATATGTGTCTGCATGATTTGATGTGATGGTCTGTGTGATTTATAGATTGTTTTTGGGATAGAAGCAAAACATATTTCCAACCGTGTTGAGTGAATATCTATAAGTCGACACAGAGACCATAATAAGTGGGATTAGAGCCCGATTGGGGGTTAGGGTTTTTCTGTTCGGACAGTTAAAATTGGTTTTGACTAGAGAGAATTCTTCTCAACATCCTAGACATGGAACCAAATAAGGTGCATCAAACCTCGAGTTCCTTGGTACTCGCTAGTTGAGTTATCGGGATCCCGAGGTTTGCTTTTCCACAGTGGCAGGTAATGCAATCTCGAATCCCATCAGCGCTTATTCTTCCAATGCGGCTACAGCGAGACATCAAGGAGCCATTATGCTACATGTTGCTGGCCCAACCCACCAGGGGACATGACAGGATGTGTAGAATGGATCAATGCGCCGGGACATGATCACGCGCAGTTTCTCGGACGGTACGGATGCAGTTTCTCGGCCCTAGCCAAACTTATTATACAGATTTCTATGTATGGATTATGACGAGAAAGAAATCACGGGGTTTTTAAGAGCCAATCTCCTTCAGATTGAGCACATCTGCTATAAGGTCGACCGCTCGATGTGAAACGTCCAACTGTCCGTCAAGTACAGGACCTCCAAGTCTAAGCCTTCCCTATTAGAAGACGGGCATTTTCTCACTAGAGTTGTCACAAGGAATATTTGATTTTATATGGATTGTAATCGAACTTGCTCATGGGTTCCTGATCCTTTTGTGTAAGGTGACAAACTGATGTAATTTTTGCTGGAAATATATCGTACAAATCACATTCACCAAAAAAAAAAAAAGGTTTTGACCGGTTTGGTATGACACGGTTCAATTTGACCAGGTTGTGTCAATTTTGACCGGTTCAATTATGTTTGATTCGATTTGGAACAATTTGGACCGATTTGACATTTTTTTTAAAGTCTGACGGTACCATAGTTGGCTATTGATCGTTGACCAAGACTTGGTTTTAACTATTGATTTGACAAAAAAAAGTCAGTGCCATCCAGATGAGGCGGTCCAGAGGTCAAGTTTTCGAGTTCTGTTGGGTCAATCAGTATTGAGAACTAATCTTTTCGCGATGATAAATTTTTAGGGCCAAGTTCTTTCCGGTAATTTTTGAAAAATTCTTTGATAGAAAATATTTCCAGTTGAAAATTTGGGATAGAGAATTTCGATTAAAAAACTTTCTGATAAAGATTTTGTAAAGAAACTTTTGGATTAGAACTTTCGGATAAGAAATTTCTGCAATAATAATTGGGGTTCTTGGGAAAGTCTGACAAAAAGATGTCGTGTTTTGCAAAGTATGACAAAAATGTTGTGACATTTGCAAACTATACATTTGTTTGTTTTATTCCTAAAATGCCCCTGAAGCAGAGCCGTCACATCGAGATCAAAATAAAATCGCCATTTTGTTTCTCTCTCCAAAATTCATTTTTCAAAACACGAAAAAGAGTTAGGGTGAAGACGATTTTAGGGCGAAATAGAAGAATACCAGCGACGCTCAGAGCAAAGATTACACATTTTCATAACATGTATGTTTTTTGTACTTCGTTTCTAAATTTTAGTATTTGCGGTTTTATGATTCTTGTGTTGCAGCGTAGTTAACGTTTTTGTAAAAGACTGTTGTTTACTAATGTGTAACCCACCCCTATCGAGAGAGGCCGTGGTTTGGTTGTAAGCGAATGAGTTTCCCGTAAAGTATTCGTGTTGGAGATTTTAATATTGCTCAAGAGTAACGTATGACTCCCGTATGCAAGTGTAGTATCCGGACAGCTATATTACATTCCCGGCCTGTGGTCAAATATCCGGATACTGAGACGTTGCTGAATGTCCCAGATAAATTGGTCACTATGGTCGTCTAATAAGCGTGGTAAGGGTTTAAGCCCAGACGTATTTCGTCTGGGTATATGCCCTGAGGCCCGACAATTCCTATTATCCGGAATGTGATATATAATTCGGATATCTTCGAACATGTCCGGGATATCGGTATGTATGTCCGGGTTATTCATCACATGTCCGGGGAATCACAATATAGCCTGATATATTTTATTGATGCTTTGTATAGTTTGATAGCTGATTTTTGTGTTATGTTCTGTATTTGGCAGATTGCAATGGACCTTTTCCAGGCAAAACAATATTTTCCTGCAGGACAAGAACCAGAGTTGAAGAAAAATATGAACGATATATGCAAGTTTGGTAGTTGCATGACAGAGTTGAAGAGGAACATGAGTGCAGAAGAATGGGATGGATTGATGGCTTCTGTCTTTGGATTTTTTTTCAGGCTATCTGTGACACCCGTAACCCGTGTACAGTATACGGGTTGTGCCACATGGACAATGATAATAAAATAATAATAATGTGGAAGCAAAAATACGAAATCCAAAAACATTTTAAATAAACCAGAGTAAGCAGCGGAAAATACAACAGGCGATCAGTATCGCAAAATGACACATGTCCGAATAGTTATAATTTAGCCGTACAAAATGCGGGAAACACAAGTCTCGTAACCCAAAATGTAAATCCCGTACATGATGCTGCCTCTCTCAGGTCGTCGTCTGCCGGATGCGCTAGGCGTAATCCTCGTGATCTGAAAAAAAGGTAAACCACGAGGGCTAAGCACAACTGCTTAGTGAGTAGCCCGGGTTGAACCCGGAAATCCCGTTCCCAACGAGAACGGTACAGTCGACATTTCCATGAAAACACATGCAATAAGTAACACACAGTAGCACATCAATAGCAAACACAAACACGCACGTATGGAATCCACCATAAGGCTTAGCCATATACCCTGGTCAAATCCATGACCAGGAGCGAATCCACGCCAGTCACCCGCGTGACGTTGGCCATCGAATCACATGCGATCGTGCGCGTCTCCTGCGCCCGTCACTCTCGTGACTACCGATGTCGAGTCCACGACACAACGGAAATACAATCATATCC